TTTTTAAAAATATTCATAATTAATTTTAGTTGAAAGTATTAAATTTAAATAATAAATATAAAATAAACTTACTTGACGCATAAGACGTTGTGCTTTAACCATATCTGATCCACTATCAGATACAAATCCTATCTATTTATCAGTTCCCAATTCCATTCCAACCTTTTTATATGCTTCAAACATAATATCTCCAGTATGATGAATATTTGAAAAGTTTTTTATTTTCCAAATTTGACTTTGACGCTTTTCATTTGTAAGAACAAAATTAATCATTCTTTGTTTAGATACATTTGTCCACCCATTTCCAGATAAAGTTAAAAATTTAGAATCTGTAACAAATTCCTGAATCTTATTCTTTACCTCTTAATGAACTTGATCTAAAATTTCAATGCTAATCCATTTTCTTGATGAAAGATTATATGAAGGTTGTAACATTCTAAATAATTTGATAACTTCAGAATTATCTACGAAAGAGAAAGGAACATTTGCTGAAAGTAAGGCATGTAATAGTTGGCAATGTATTGCTGTTGCTTCATTTTGAGATATATTTCTATTCACAAAAGAATCTATAGATTTTTGTGTATTATTAACTTAGGATTCGTTTTTATCTACATTAGATATTAAATAGAATAAATTAATTAAATTAAAGCAATAATAATATTAATAATAAAACTAAATTACCATCATTGTCTGAATCTGCAGTTTCAATATGAGGATGCTTATGCTTATTTTTTTTTGTTCTATTATCTAAATTACGAAGAGTATCACGAATTTCTTTACTAATTTTAGAACAATCTTCTTTAAGATATTGTAACATATTAGCAGGTATACCACCCATCTTTTCAAAACAATATTTACACTTTGCTTCATGATGACAACTATTAATCATTGGTCCTTCAATAAAATGAAATCAAATTAATCCCTTTTTTCTACCTTGCTTTTTTTTAACGGCATGCATTATTAAAAAAAAAAACAAGGTAAAACAAATACAACTAGAAGGGTTACTTTGTTTTTGTTGGCTATTTAGTGGTGAATTGCTAACAATACAACTCATATCGTGACATATATTCAACAAATTTTTTTGGGGGAGGAATAATATAAATGCATGACAATTATACAAAAAAGAACAGAAACATTGTGATAGATATTTTAAATATGAGCAATTTCACGAACTGTAAAATCGCTCTATAGCTTAAAAATAAAACGTAAATTCAGAGATTATAATATAAATTCGAAGGTTTTTTAAAAAAAATCAATAATCGTTATCATGCGGCAGATCATATCAAATTTTCGTATCACGTTATCAGTTATTAGACCAATCATATTAATTTA